CTCCTCCTCCTCCTCCTCCTCTTCCCGTCACCCCTCTTACTTTGACACACCCCTCACACGTTTCGCGGCCCCACAGTGAGCCTGCACGGCCCCAGACACCCCAGGGGCAGATTGTCGTTCAGAGACTTGGGGCCCCCCCGACCGCTGGACCCCTTCTTGGGGTGGTGGGGGGAGGGCTCCACTGCTCCACAGTCGATTTCGCTGGGGAGGACACGCGAGAGAGCACAAGACCCTTCCGATGGCCGCATCGCTCCGGGAAGATACTCCAGATTTCGTAATGAAGGGAGGGGGGTCTCATTTCGGGGGGGGTCTCTTCCAGGCCATCTTGGAGGGCCTGGGGGGTCTGGGGATGATGTTTTGGAGGGTTCTCCCACGGGGGAGGTCTGAAATGGCTTGTCTGGGAGGGTCCAGACCCCCTCCCTTTTATTACGAAATCTGGAGTAGGCCCCGGACACGAGGGGTACTCTCGATTTGGTGGAAGGGTCGATCTGCCATTCAAAGTCGACCGTCGGCGGCCCCGGGGGCCCGAGAGCGGCCCACCAGAAGAGGCCCCCGAGTGGAGAGCAGCCGGCCGCCACCAGCCGCCTCGATCTGCGCCCGCGCCGCCGGACGTCTGGTACCGTGGGCGCCCCCCTCCTCCTCCTCCTCCTCCTCCTCCTCCTCCTCCTCCTCCTCCTCCTCCTCCTCTCTCCTCCCTTCCCTCCTCCCCTCTCCTCCCTTCCCTCCTCCCCTCCCTCCCTTCCCTCCCCCTCCGTCCTCTTCCTCCCTCCCTCCCTCCATCCTCCCTCCCTCCCTCCCTCTCCCCCTCCTTCTCCTACTCTCCTTCCTCCTCCTCCTCTCCTCCTCCTCCTCCTCCTCCTCCTCCTCCTCCCCTCCTCCTCTCGCCACCGCTGCCACCACCGTGCGCGCACGCACTAGGTCCCGAGGTTCCTGACGCTCGAGCACATGGGCAGCACCGTGAAAAAAAGCACGGGCCGAGGCTCCCGACCGCATCTTCCTGCACCACCTTTCGCGCTGCATCGCTCTGCGAGGGCCCCGGGGCCCGAAGACGAGCGAACGCGCCGGCTGTGACAAGCTTGCAACGCCAGGAGCTCATGAGAAGCCAACAGGAGGAGGAGGAGGAGGAGGAGGAGGAGGAGGAGGAGGAGGAGGCGGAGGAGGAGGAGGCGGAGAGGAGGAGAGGAGGAGGAGGAGGACAGGAGGAGGAGGCGGAGGAGGAGGAGGAGGAGGAGGAGAGGAGGAGGAGGAGGAGGAGAGAGGAGGAGGAGGAGGAGGATAGGAGGAGGATAGGGGAGGATAGGAGGAGGAGGCGGAGGAGGGGGGGAGGAGGAGGAGGAGGAGGAGGAGGAGGAGGAGGAGGAGGAGGAGGAGGCAGGAGGAGAGAGGAGGGGAGGAGGAGGAGGGGGGGGAGGGGGGGGGGGAGGAGGAGGAGGTGGAGAGGAGGAGGAGGAGGAGGAGGAGGGACGGGAGGGGAGAGGCGGAGAGGAGGGAGGAGGAGGAGGAGGAGGAGGAGGAGGGACAGGAGGATCAGTGAGGAAAGGTAGGAGGAGGAGGAGGAGGAGGAGGAGGAGGAGCAGGAGGAGTGACAGGAGGAGGATGGAGGAGAGGATGGTGAGGAGGAAGGAGGGAGGAAGAGGAGCGAGAGGATAGGAGAGAGTAGTAGGAGGATCAGGGGAGGATAGGAGGTAGGATCGGAGGAGGATAGGAGGAGGAAGGAGGAGGAGGTAGGAGGAGGCAGGAGGAGGAGCGTAGGATGGAGTGTAGGAGGAGGAGGAGGAGAGGAGACGAGGAGGAGGAGGAGGAGGAGGAGGAGAGAGGAGGAGGAGGCGGAGGAGGAGGCCACAGTCTCCGACCGCATGGCGCCCCCGCGCTGCCGAGCGCCCAACTCTTTCGCGCGCGCGCGGCTCACGGTCCGCTCAGGCGGGGCCCGGGGAGGCGGTCCATGCGGCGCGGGCTGACGGTCCCCGGGGGGCAGCGCGGGCGCCATCCTGCAGGCGGCACCAACGGCGGGGCCACCACCGAGGGAGTTGCAGCCCTCCTCCGGGAAACGCCCTCCCCCCCTCTGTGTGCCCCTCCTAAGGCGAAGCCATGACAGGGATAGATTCGGGTGAGGATTAATCGAGAATCTCTGAGATCCGGCGGATCTGGAGGATGTCTCGGGCGCCGCAGCCCTCTTCTCATGAGCGTTCCAGAACGGTCTGAGAGCGTTTTCGAACGCTCTGGAACGGATTTACCCTCGTCCTATGCCCGTCCGACCTCCTCCCTCCCTGGGGCCCCCCGAACCCACCCCGGGGACTCCCAGAGACGCCCAGATGGCGTCCGAAACCTCCTCGGCCCTCGGCCCTCGGGTCGGATGAAAGGGGGGGGAATCAGCTCACGCAGCTGGTTTCCCCAGCGCCTCCAGGCGCCGGAGGCGCCAGTATCGGGGATCTACTTGTCCGGGTTGGTCCAGACCTGGGTCAGTCAAGCTCTGCAAGATCTTGCAAGATCCTGCAGGATCCTGGCCCAGACCCGGGTCCATGCGACCGCGGCTCGGCAGAATCCTGCAAGATCCAGCGCTCTGGCCGACTCCCGTTTGCATGGACCCCCGTCTCTTGAGCCCCGATCGTGTATCAAGGAATGGGCCCGGCGGCGGGGCCGAAACCAGCTGCCGACAGCAGATTTCGTAGCCCCCCCCTTTTCCTATCCTGTTCTCCTGTCTGGCCTGAGATTCTCCCTCCCCCCCTCGATGATCAGGCCCTTTTCCGCCCCTCTCGCTCGCTGCAGGCTCTGCACAGGCCGTGCTGATGAAGTGGATCTGCTGCGCTTCCCGTCCTGGTCCCTGCCTGGGTCACGGGCGCTCGCCCGCAGGCTTTTCAGATGCGACCTGGGCACGGAGATGGCCCTGCGACGAGGACGACGACGACGGTCCTCGACTTCCCCTCCCCTCGCATCGCCCGGCTCCTGGGGGGGTACCCGCCAGACGACGACGACGACGACGACGACGACGACGACGACGACGACGACGACGACGACGACGACGACGACGACGACGACGACGACGACATCCGACGACGACATCCGACGACGACGACGACATCCGACGACGACATCCGACGACGACGACGACGACGACGACGACATCCGACGACGACGACGACGTTCCTCGCATTCTTTCCCCCCTCCCTCGCACTGCCCAGCTCCTGGGGGTACCCGCCGGGCCGCGGCTGCCTCGCAACCTCCCGGCGGGAGGCAGGACGGCGGATAGCGGGCCGAGGGGGGAGATGGGGCGCCCTCCTCCTCCTCCTTTCCCTCCTCCTCCTCCTCCTCCTCCTCCTCCTCCTCCTCCTCCTCCTCCTCCTCCCCCTCCTCCTTCTACCTCCCTCCTCCTCCCTTGGCCTCGTCCTCGTTCCTCGTCCTCGTCCTCCTCCTCCTCCTCCTCCTCCTCCTCCTCCTCCAAGAGACAGGCCGCCGGAGCAGCCGGGCACGGCGACGAGGACTGGAGACCCTACGGATGGGGTCCGAGTACCCTGACCTTCCAGAGTGCTAGGAAATGGCCCTCAAGATTGAAACACCTACCTGGACGGCCCAAAACCCCGGCAGGGATTTAGATGTCGAGCTCCTGGTGCTATTTTTAGCCCTTCTGCAAGGCCAGGGTAGATGGGGTCGAAGGATCGCGCCGCATCGCCGATGCATCGGCGGTGCCTCGGCGGTACAAACTCAAAGAAAATCGGGCTCCACATCGAAACGTATCGGCGAGGCTCCGACCCCCCATCTACGTGGATCCCATCTCGGATGCCTCGAATGACGGTGACGATTCGGTCGCGCGGATTTCTCAGAAAGCTTGCTAGAGATCGAAGGCGAACTTCGAGGTCCGAAACTAATGTTTACAGCTTTCGGCCTCGGGCGGCCGTTTTCGAACCCTGGGACCCTCGAAACTCGATCTGCGTCGAAAATCCGCGTTGGATGGACCCCGAAAGAAGTCCGGGGACCGATTTCGACCGATATTCGGCGGCGCGCCCAAGGGGGGAGTGAGAAGGAGGAAGAAGCCTTCTCTGAAGGCGGTGGGGTTTCTCAGAAACCCTGGGGCCTTCTGAGACATGTTCGGTGTCTTCGGGGAAGGCTTCGAAAACTTCTGGGAGATTTCTGAGCCTTCTTAAAGGGCCCGCCCCCTCTCTCTTCCACCCTGGGCTGACCGCTGGACGATGCAGCCCTCGTCGTCATAGGGGGGGAGGCAGGAGGGAACTCCTGAGAGGTCTTCGCAGGAGCTACTGAGGGCGATTCAGCCCGATTGAGGGGCAACCGAACAGGGGAGCATACGAACAAACTCGGGATCAAGCCATAGCAGGCGGCATTAAGACGGATTCAGGCAATTTTGACTACGGATGCTGCACCGCCGATGCTGATTTTGTTATGTCACAGGAGATTGAACCGAGGGTGAAGAGGGGGTATGGACTTCGAAGGTAAAGGTTTTGGGCGTTTCTGTCCCGCTCCAAGCATCCAGACTCCTGGAAACCGCCAGGGACCTTCGGAGGCCTCCAGTGGTGGGAAGGGAAGGGAGCCCAGAATCGACTCGATGAGTCGGACCGGCGATCGAAATGGATCGGATCGGCGGAAAACGGCAGCCAAATCGGGAGAACTCGAATCAGCGGAAATCGGCAGGCAAATAAGGCCTCCATTGAGAAACCGACTATCGGAATCCGAAGCCGAACCGCATGGGAATCGGAACCCATCGAAATCGCATCGAATCGAATCGGAGGATCGGGAGAGCCAAAAATTAACCCTGCCCTAGGGGAGGTGCAGATCGCCCGCGGGGCCTCCGGACGCGGGGGGCTCTTCTCTCCTGGGACCGGCCGGAATGGCTGTCGGGCTCAAGCACGGGCGCGAATTCGCGAGCACGCACGCGCAGCACGTAGCTCTTTCTGAACCTTGAGATCGGTATCCATCGCAATTCTAAAATTCGCGGTGATCTGGGAGACTGCTCGAACTGCTTCAACGACCCTCCGACTTGACACGACCCTCGACCTTCGGGACACTGGGGGATCCGCGTCGAAGAGGCCGTTGTTTGGAGCTCCGAAATCCCGCGCAAGAGTGCGAACCAGCTTTGCACGGAACAGGGGGTGGCCGCCAAGCTCGGTGTTGACACAGTCACACATCGATGAGATCCCCAGGTAGTAGCTTTCATCGTCCAAGACGTGACAGTGACTCCAACCCTCGGCCATTGTCCAGTCATCTCCCTCGGGCTTGTTTGGAATCTTGAACTGCTCGTAGTCACTCCAGGGCGGGTAACGGAAGGTCTGCGCTGCCTTCTCGCCCCCGTCCGCGGACGGAACCTCTTCTGCTTCCATCAGATTATGGTGCTCCTTGTTCAGAGCCTTACTGAGCCAGAGAGCCTAGTCCTCGACCGCCGCCCTGGTTTGCGCCGATATGGTGTCTCAGCCCTTGCGCCATGTCAGATGGGCGTTGGTCCTGGCCAGCGGACAGTCGTGATCTGCCAGCGGCGCCATGGACCCTGGAAGCATGGTCACGCGACACTTCCCGGAAGCATTCGCAATGGACTCTGGACCAGAATCCAAGCCCTCGAGACAACTGCGTACCTGGAGCTCGTTGAGAACGGTATGGGACTTGACCATGAGTGCGCACATCTGAATGAAATATTGCCGTCGCACTCGGATCCGACCGATATTGGGCCGATTGGAGCCGTTTGCGTTCCCTCCAGCAGCAGCAGCAAGCGCAGTGAATTCGCCAGCGAGTTGATACTCCCCCGTCACAATAGTTGCTCGTAGAAGGTATTCGGCTTCTGCATCGGCCTTTAGTGAGAATGCCTGCTAGCTGTAGAGTAGTTAGTATCCAAAATGCGGTCGCTCCTAGTCGTTTCGAAATCTCTTTGGTGGACGACAGGTCTACGGCTGCTCGTGTATCTGCCGATGCCCCCCGCACAACTACATAACGGCATGTGATCGTGCGAGGGCGCGCAGCGGACACAGCAATTGGGCGAAGACGAAGTATGAAATCATAACAATCCTCTAAGACAAACGACGGATCCAGAGCTTCCAGGAAGGCACAGGCCAACCACTCCACGTATCCGAGCGCATCCATGCGCACCTGAGAGTGCGCCGCTAGGGCAGACGCCGTCACTCGCATGAGTAGTGGGATTTACAGCACTCTGGTTTGAAACATCAGCACGAGCAACAATCTGCCATTGATCTATAGGTGTACGTCGGACTCGCCATCGCATCGCATTGAACTGTCTCGCCCGTCGAACTAGAGTACCGGCATGTCGAATTGATCCTGCGGTGGGCTTGGGGAGGATCTGTTGGTCCATGGAAAACTGGGCGGCGATGTTCGGGCGCGTCTCCCTCGCAAGCCGACTTCTACCTCCCAACGAAATCCGTGCATGTCAACTCTTATTATCTGCTGCTGGGAGATCAGGTGGGCGCCGCTGTCGGACTCCTGCGGGCCTCATCTGGGCGGCGAATCCTTGCTGACATACGAGCAAATCGACAGACTTTGGATCCTGCCACAGAGGTGATTCACATAACTCCCGTTTGCCAACGCACCACCTACGAAATTGCAAAGAATGTCGGAGATGCTGAATGTCGAGGCGACTTGTCACTACAGCCTCCCGAGAGGGTATCAGCAACGCGCGTAGCGAGGAGACCGCGCAGCTTGGCCTACTCGTAGTGGAGAATAAGCATGGGTCCATCTTCGACGTGACCCATCCTGACACACCTGACGATATCCGAGATCTGGTCCAGAGCCAGACCGGTCGCCCAACGCTCGGCTTGCGGAGATAGATATTGCCTGGTGTCCGCCTGTGCTCGTTTGATTCCAGACAAGAGCCAATCGCATCCGCGATGCTCCTCTGGAATTTGCGCGACGCCAAGACCTGGTAGACTGCCGCCCTACCATTGAGGGATGGAGTCGGAGAAAACGACTTCCATTCACATTCCTCTTTCAGCAAATCCGGATCAGAATACCCTTGGCCGCCGAGACGAGCTCCCACGATCTCCTGATTGCCGTCGTCGGTCTTCGAAATCAGGACCGCGCGGCTGCCCAGAACGCGATCGGGACTGTCGCGACGGATCTTAGTGGACTCCTCGGAGCTCTGGGGCGGCGGCGCTGTGTTCTCCGAGCGCACGTTGCCCCGCTCCTTCTTGATGCCAGCGGCCACGTTCGATCTTCCTACATCGCTGCGCTTGAAATACTATCTTCCCTGTGCCAGAAAAAAACGCCATCCACTCCTGCGTCGTCACATTGCCCAACATGCAGGGCTCAGAGGTGTTCCCCGCCCTCGGATTCATCAGCCAAGGAAACCGCGTCATCGGACGAATCGCCTGGTCGCGGCCGGGGCGCCTGTTCTAGGCGAAGTAGCCCCCCCCCAGTCGCGCCTCGAGGCCTCGCGCGACAGCGGGGGCCAGAGGCGGAGGCAGACTCATCGGACAGGCGACTCTTCCAACGGACTGGCCAATCCTCTCGGAAGAAGGCGGCGGAGAAGATGTCTGACCTTGGCCAGTTGGTGCCAGTTGGTGCCTGCCACAGCGACCTCCGACTCGGTCGGCAGACTCCTCGCCGCTGCTTCCGGTTGAGCAGCTGGCGCCTCAGCTCGCGGCTGCGACAAGGGCCAACGGCGTTGCGCCATCAGCCGGCGGTGGACCGCTGCCTCGGCGATGGCCGGAAAACTGCGCTCCTGACCTTCGCCAAACAGAAATTCTCGAGCGAATCTGTAGTTCTGGTCAAACCGCCTCCTCAGCAGCCTTCTCCTCCTCTGCAGCGAAACGCAGCTGCTCTGGAGACGCCTTCGCTCGCTCCCAGCAATTGCCTCGCATCGGGCCGATGGGGGCGCCAGAACCGCGTCATCTCGCATGGGCACAGCGCCCGCGACGCCGCGCAGCCGCGCGATCTCCCGGGGGCAAAATCGCGGAGGGCGCGAGGTCAGGCATCCGGGGCCGCCCGAGCAGCGCGATCGCCCATCCTCTTGAGGAGATCCATGCGAGCCGTCTGCCGAAACCGCTGGGCGCGCCCAACGAGCTCGTCCCCGAGGAGCACGCCATTCGCAACAACGCTGGGTGAATCTTGAAGTTGAAGGAGGTCGGTCGGCGCCTCTGGATGGTGGCCAATTTCGATCTCATGCGGAGAGCGGCCGCGCAGCCTGCCGGGCGATTTCTTCGCCGCGGCTGTTGCGCCAAGTCAAGCCATCCATCTCTCCGTGGTATCTGGGGCACGCTGATCACATATCGTATTGAATATATCGGAAAAGCGCTGGCAATGACGCTCTATTCGATCAATATGCTCATGAGCTTCGCCTGCGGCGCCGCGTGCCTCCGTGCCCAGATTGCCCAGGCGCCCCATCAGCTTCGGGCCGCAACTGACCTCCCCCGCGTCGAGCCCGATGACTTTAGGCGCACCGTTGGGCCTGATCCATGATTCGTGGAGTCCTCGCAGGGATGCCTCTCCATTCTCGGCCCCAGGGAAGGGCCGCGTCCGTTGTGGGGCGATCGAGTCGCGCAGAACGCATAGACACCTGACCTCCATTGTCACACTCCACGCCATCAGCTCCTGACGTCCATCTCAAGCAGTTTCATGAGATCAGCTGTTGTAGGCAGCGCAGCGAGACGGATATGCTAAGGCTGCTTCCTTCCATGACAGACTGAGCGCTAGAACTCCCGCGCAATCCGACTGACCGCGTCACTGGCGTTCGCGTGCTTGAGCGCTCAGGCCATGGCCTCGTCACTGGGATGTCCCAGATTTGCATGAAGTCTCCGGAGTGAACTCGCGGAAACTCGCCGGCGTCGCTTCGAGACTTTACCCATTGAATTGGGACTCGTCGTCGCTTTCGTGTTGTCGCGTCGCCCGCTGCAAGCAGAATGAGAAGAGCATCTGCGATGTCTCCCGCCAGCTGCGTCGGGCGCGCCCCTGAAAACACGCCGCGATTGACTCCGCCAGTACTGTCGACGCAAGACTGGCGATCAAGTCGTTCATCGCACCGCCGCTCCACCAAAGCCCACTTCAAAACGTCGCAGCTTGTCGCGAAGCACCGCGTCTGCTGAAGCGGCGACCTCGATGCTGGATCTGTCGGGCCGACCTGGCAGCCCTGCGCTAACACCTCCTGAAAATCTGGTTCGATACTCACTCCACGACTGCCCGGAATGCGCAGGCCTCGGCCGTCGCGGGCGCCTCGAAATGCAAACGGCCACCGCACTGCTGGGCCGCCCTCGCAAATCCCGGCGCAGACGTGGCACAATTCATCACTACACGGAAATCGACGCAGTACCGGTCGAGATCTCGACGCTCCACTTCTGGTGTCAATCTCTGCAATATCGAGAACAGCTTACGTGGAAGGGGGAATTCCCACAATACTTGGCTTTCCGATCACGATGTGCCGAAAGCCTTGCATTCCAGCCGTCTTTCGAATCATGCAAGCCCAGATGTTGAGAACCTTGGGCCTCTGGCTGAGGGCAGACTCCAGGCGTCCAAAACTATTCCAAGCATTCTTGTTTCGCTCTCTGATGCATCATCATTTGGGGCAAAAGCTTTTTCAGATCTCCCCGATCACGTCGACGAAGAGCCCCCGGCACTCCAGCCTGCCAGCCTGACAACGCTCACGCGTATCATCCAAACCCTGTCCACGACCATCGTCGACCTGAGGGCCCCTGCCAGGCCTCGGCGAAAACCGGCAGTCGCCTCCGCCCGCCAAGGAAGCCTTGGACGGCTCGGCCTCTACATCCACGTCAGGGGAAAACACCTTCTTTTGGGTCTCGTTGATTAGCTTGCACGAATCCAACTGGTAAGGATCGTTTTTTGCTTCCCACCGTGGCACCAAAACTTCTCAAATATCATCTGGTCTCTAGCGTCACCAATGATGGCGCCCGAGCTCTGGAGCGTCGGATTGCTCAGCAGGAGCGGCGCCTCTCCAATAATAACGTTCAACCGAAAGCGCACTTCTCGGCTACTCGTCCGACACTGAATCCCCACAGAAAGAAACGACTTTCGGGCCTGCTGATTCCCGGACCTGAACGTGATGGGTTTAGCATGGACAAGACGCGCGATCTTCAGCCCAGCCCAATTCATGTATGTTTAGAACCATACCTCTACCACATACAGTATCCACCGTTCCATGACCAACATCGTGAGATGATATCAGAGCCTCCACCGTCTCTTTGAGTTCCGTCTCCTGGGTCAAGTGCGAAAAATGGTTGCAGATCGTGCTGATGTCATCGTCCGGCCCCTCATCCGCCACCATCGCTGTCATGGACTCATCTTTGGGAACCTCCGAAACAGACTTGGTCTCACACGTCGGCGGCCTCAGCATGACTTGCCGAGGCCTCCGCGGCATTTTGCCAGTACGGCTGCATTTGCCAATCTCGCCACAATTTAATCGCTTCGTTCTCCGAACGAGTGCCTTAATGTCTGACTTTCTGAATCTGGAATCTCTCGACACTTGCTCCTTGGTGATCCTCTTCCTCTGCTCCTTCCACGCCACCAGCATCTGAATCGCGGCGGACTCGTCCAGCACCTCGTCTTGTCTGAACTCCGGCTCATCCTCGATCAAATCGTCGATTTCCTCATTCACGGAATCCGTCACTTCTGGGATCAAGATCTCCACCACTTCGTTCGCCCGAACATGTCGGTCATGGCGTCCTTGGCCGTCGTCCGCCAGGCCGTTCGGGATCCTCGTCCGCAAAGCCTGGGCAACCTCGACTTCCATGTAGGACCTCGTGGAAGCTGCCAGCACAACTGCCATGTTCTGAGCCGGCATCTGGGGCCCCATGAGCAGAAAGAAATCTTTGGCCATCGGGGAAAACGGCACACGCTCCGCAGCACCTCGTGAGTACGCCGCACTTGCTGTGCCACAGTACTGGGTCATGGTGTCTCGCCGCGCGTGAGCTTCAGGTTGTAAATCTCGGTCAACGCCTCTCCGAAACAATCGTGGGCGGCAAGGTCGGGGAACCTCTTGTCTAGGACACCAAAGATGAAGGCTTCTCCTCCTTCCGCTTCTAGCCCATCGACGTCGAGCGTCTCGACTGCCTGCGCCGCCAAATCATCCAGGAGCGTAAACAGGACAGGAACCGCCGCAGCGGCTGGAACTCCTCGTGCTCGTTGGACCAGCAGGTCGGCTCGCGTCCACTTGGCACCAAACTCTATGATCCTTACTCGCATCCTGCCCAGCACCCGAAGAGCGACGGACCGCGCCCGCATTGGACTCAATGTTGATCGGCATGCTGCTGTCGCTGCCGTGAACATTCACTCGAAACTGAAGCTGCTGAAGAAAATTCCGTACTAGACGCCGGCCTCGGTGTCGACACTGTCGTCAACGTCGTCGTCCTTCACGCCCGTGAAGGTCACCAACTCCGCTACCAATGCAGATCGCCCGCGAGGCCCGCCGGACGCGGGTTTTGCTCTCCTGAGACTGGCCAATATGGCTCTCGGCTGCAAGCACGGGCGCGAGCACGCGAGCGCGCACGCATAGCACCTTCTCCTATCTGAGCACAGGCTCACCCTACCCGCCCCCCTCACTAGATCCCCATATCGGCAGGAGGGGAAGATAATGTGGAAAACCAAACAAGAACAACAACATAGGACATAGGCTGCCTCTGGAAGTCCGTGCGGATTCTCTGTGTCGGCGCTGCGCCCCCTCCCCCGCACCACCGGCGTGCTCCGCGCGCCAGGCCCTGAGATCCGACGTCAAGGAAACAGTGCAGCACCATGCGAAATCACGATCAGAGCCCTGGACGCGATTATGCTGCAGCATTTTTGGAGCCGGATCGATCCATGAGAGACTCGGGGTCCGAAATAGGGCGAACTCGCCCAGTGTGAACAACATGCGAAGCCAGAGTCCAGAGTCTCAAGGGGAAGAGGTGTGTGGGGAGGGTGGTACGCAACACTGACCCGAGGAATCCGTGCAGACCTCCAGAAGTTTATGTGTACTCCAGGTTTCGTAATAAAAGGGAGGGGGTCTGGACCCTCCAAGACAAGCCATTTCAGACCTCCCCCGTGGGAGAACCCTCCAAAACATCGTCCCCATACCCCCCCCAGGCCCTCCAAGATAGCCTGGAAGAGACCCCCCCCCGAAATGAGACCCCCTCCCTTTTATTACGAAATCTGGAGTACCTGGCTCTCTGGTTCTCGTTTGGAGGGGGAAGTGGAAAGAGCTGCCAGCACCGCATCACGACATGGGATCGGATCGGAACGTGCATCGAATCTCGGGCTACATCGGCACGGCGTCGGCATCGCATCGGACCGGCCAGACCAAGATGCAGAACGGCGCCATGCAAACATCAGGCCGCACCCAATCGTCGGAATATCGAAATCGAACAAGAACGGATCTCATCAGGGCTGGACCCAAACGTCGTGCTTCGTTTTGGCGCCGTTTTGTTGTTCGTTGTGCTGCTTTGCTCTACCTGTTGTCCTCTACCTCCCTGCCAATACGAAAACAAAGCACGGCCGAAGTCCAGCAAAACAGCACAGCCCTGGATCTTATCGATCTGAGACGGTGGGTGCGACCCTCCCCGCCCCCGTGGATTGGGATCGCCCGGGACCTCTGGGAGCAGCCCGCTGGGGCTCTGCTTCTTCGCCGCGCCTGGCGGACCCACCGGCGTTCGAGGCCAGCTGGCGCCGAGGGGTGCTGGAAGACCGGCGCCCTTCGCAGGGCCGGGCTGCGCTGCATTCCGTGCTTGGCCCACACCAGCACTCGGGCCCTCCAGGGCGAAGGCACGGACGCCCGCGCTTGCGACCAGCGCGTCGATGCCCTCGACCAGCTTGGCCGGAATGCGGTTCTGGCGGAGGTCCAAGGACCTTTCTGGGGAGCCAGGAGAAGGCGGGATCGAATCGATGAGTCGGATCGGCGATCGAAATGACTCGGATCGGCGGAAATCGGCAGGCTGGCCAGGCCTCCATTGAGAAGCCGGAATCCACATCGGAATCCAAAGCCGAATCGAATCGGAATTGGAATCCATCGGAATCGGATCGAATCGAGGAGATGAAGTGAGCCTTGCCATGGGGGAGGGGAGAGGGTGGAAAACCAGACAGCGACAAAGCTGCCAGTTCGCGTCCCATGCAGCCGGTTAATCTGAAGGACGTGGGGCATCTCTTCAACAAGTCGGGGTTCTCGCCTGAGAGAATCGATTCGGGCGCTCATGGCAAAACCACAGGCAGCCTCCGGAAAACCGTGCGGAATTTCTGTGTCGGCGCTGCGCCCCCTCCCCCGCACCTCTAGCGTGCTCCGCGCGCCAGGCCCTCAGATCCGACGTCACGGAAACAGTGCAGCACCGTGGCGCACGGGGGGGAAGGGAGAAGGCAAGTGGGGGAACGAACATCGACAGAAACATACAAACTCGGAGGTCCGCGCGGGTTTCTTGGATTGGCGCTGGAGCCCCCTGTGGCGGCGCCTCAGGCGCCGCCGCTGGCGCTCTCCGCGCAGGCCAGGGACGGGGGTCCAGCGCCGATCCAAGAAATCCGCGCGGACCTCCGGGTTCGTATGTTTATGCCACTGGTGAGCGTTTTCTGATTGAGCGTTTTGGCATTGGGCGGAAGGGAGGGGGAGGGGGGGTGGGTCTGGCTCCGGACCTCTGCTTAGTGCGACTGTTTGCAGCAGTGCGTCCTGTGGGGGAGGCACACCTGTCCGAAACAGGCGCCAAACAACAACCAGGATCTGCTCCATGAGAAAGGGGAAGGGGGGTGCGAGGGCCCGCGCCGATCGGCAAAACAATGAATAAGAAAACGATCACTTGTTGGCTCCCGGAGAGAAGACCTTCTCAGAAGGCGCCGGCGCTACTCTGAAGCCCCGCGTCCTTCCGAGGAAAGTTCTGTGTCTTCGGGGAAGGCTCGGAACACTTCTCAGAAGGCCAGAGCGCATCCGAGCCTTCTGCGACGGCCCGCCCCTTCTCACTTCCCCCTCCCTGGGCGCGCCGCCGAGAGAAAACAGGGGAAGGGCATCGGCGTCGGCGTCGTTGTTTGGTGCTTGAGGTTTTCCTCTCCTCTTGGACCTGATGCTGCTGAACACCTCCAGTGCTGTTTGCAGCTGCAGGGCGCCGACCTCCCCGATGCGGTTGTCCCGTAGGGACAGCGACGTCAGCGCCCTGTTCTTCGTGATCGCCCTCGCGAGCGCCCCCGCGCCCTCGTCGCCCAGGCTGTTGAAGGTCAGGTCGAGTGCGGTCAGCGCGTCGTTGACCTCCAGGGCCGCCGCCAGCCTGTGCGAGCTCGAAGCACCGATGTTGTTCATCGAGAGGTCGAGCCTTTCCGGGTCGGGCAATAGGGGGGGATAGCAAAGGGGGGGTTTGAGAATCAGCTCACGCAGCTGATTTTCCCGGCGCCTCCCGGCGCCGGAGACGGCTATGTATCGAGGAATGGGCCTCTCGGTGAGGCCGAAACCAGCTGCATGCAGCAAATTTCGTAACCCCCCCTTTCCCAATCCCCCCCTTTCGTCCGGCCCGACCTTTCCAGCCTGCGGTTGGCCTCTAGGAGCTCCGCCAGGGGCTCGGCCTTGTGCCTGTAGATGCCCACGGCGGCCAGCCCGAGGCTGGCTAGGCGGGCGTTCCGCGCCAGGCCGCCCCCAAGGCATCGGCCGTCGCCCCAGAGCTGGCTGTTCCTGCGGGTCGAGACCTTTGTATAGGGGAACAAAACAGTGGCATAAACAAACAAAATCGGGGGTCCGCGCGGATTTCTCGGATCGGCGCTTGGGCCCCCCGGCGGCGCCTCCGGCGCCGCCCCTGGCGCGCTCCGCGCGCCAGGGAGGGGGTCCAGCGCCGATCCGAGAAATCCGCGCGGACCTCCGAGTATATATATATATATATATATATATATATATATATACACATATATTTATATATATATATATATTTATGCCATTTTTTGTTCCCCTATTGAAATTGCGCATACACCACGCGCGCACTGTCGAAGTATGGCCAACGTTGGGGCAACGACCCGGGCCACATGTTGGCGGCCGGTGCGAGCGGGCACGCCCAGCACGCCCCAGGGCGCACGTGCAAGGGCAGGGGGAACGGGCGAGGGGCGTGCCGACATGGGCTGGGCAACGCTATGCGGTCGGCCCTGCTGGGGTATGCAGTGGAGCACGCCGTGCACGCCCCAGGGCGCACGTGCAAGGGAAGGCGAAACGAGCGAGTGGTGCGCCGACATGGGCTGGGGAACGCTCTGCGGTCGGCCCCGCTGGGGTACGCAGTGGAGCACCCCATGGGGCCACGCACTATGTGAGGGGTGTGCTGAAATGGGCGGGGGACGCTACGTGGTCGGTCCCACTGAGGCCCTGGTTGAGCTCTAGCGGGGCCTCGACACGTGCGAGGGGTGCGCCGAAATTGGCTCGGGGACGCTATTGGGTCGGCACTGAAACCTTCGGTGGATCTCCTTACGGAGCCCCGAAACGTGTTGCGGGCGTGCTGGAAGCCGAGATGGCTACGCGCAGAGCAGCAGCAACGAGGGGGCAGCGCGGGGGCGGGAGCGAAACGCGGGGCGCTGCGGTTCCGAAGCGAGGGCCCAACACCACAGGGTGGTTGTGAAAGATACAGTCTGGGAAAGGAATGGGAATTTACAAGCTTACCTTCTACTCAGAGCCAGTCTGGGGAGGGGTTGGAAACCCTTCAGGGGGGCAGGCGGACCTGAGCCCGAGAGGGCTAGCAACTGCTACAAACACGTGTCGTTTTTTTCACCACCGCGCCCAGCTGAAGGGGCTCCTCAACCCCAGATGTTTTCGAGAACGCGCCAGCATCCTAGTGCTAGCTTCCTGAGCGAACGTGAACCTAGCTAGCTACCTGAGCGTGCAGCCAGAGTCCGAGGACAAAAAACATGTTCGACCCCTCCCAGCCGACCCCACAGGGCCACCGGCCAAAGGCCTTGTCCAAAATCTGCCGAGCGCGGGCAAAGACGGGCGGGAGGGAAGCGAGGCAGGAAAAGCTTGGCAAAACCACCGCCTCCCCCCTTTTCCAGAATGGCTCTCTTCTTAGCTACAGGAGTAGGGGAGGGAGAGGCTCTACGCGGAGCCGTGCATGCGCACGGGCGTCTCACGCTCACGGCCGCGCGCCAGCGCCCTGATGAGGCGCTCGCCGAGCGGCGTGCCAGCGCCCGGGCCCCGCGGGAGGGCTTCGTGCACGGCCTGCCGCGGGCGGCGCCCAAAGGCGCAGCGCTGCTTGATCTGCTCGCCGTCGAGCTCGCTGAGCTTCTCCACCAGCGCATGGCACTTGGTGCACCGCTGGAGGACCGCGGTGGAGGCCCAGCGCCCTCGGCGCCGCGCCGTCTCCAGGTCGCCGCTCAGGGCCGCGAAGCGCGCCGCCGCGGCGTGCCGCGCCCCGTGCGGCGGCCCCGTCTTCTCGAGGCCGACGTCCTTCAGCGTCTTCATCCAGACCTTGCGGAAGCTCGGCTGGATGAACGGGGAGACCAGGTCGTCGGGCTCGCGGTCCTGGACCAGGACTTTCAACGGGAGCCTCGAGATCGGCCGCTCCAGCACCGCGCCCTGGTTGGCGCCCGTACTGGTCTTCTGGCCCATCACGCGGTCGCCCAGCTTGAGGCCCGCGCCGCCGTCGGGGGTGAAGCTGACATGCTTGACCCGCAGCATCTCCCATTCCTGCTCCCGCAGCCGCCCGCCCAGCTGGACGATGCAGGCGCAGCCCTCCAGCAGGCGGCCCGTCTCCAGCATCCTCGTGATGATCGCGCCCATCGCCTGGAACGGGATCGGGCGCCCCTCGCCTCCGAACTGCGTGCGCTCCCACAACTTGAGCGCCCGATGCGCCGTGGGGAGCTCCCCTCAGTGGTCCTCAAAGATGTGCATGAACCCGTTGAAGGCGAGCGAGGCCTTCATGTAGTTGTCGCCCCGCAAGTAGCAGAGGTCGCTGATGTAGTTGCCGAGGGCGCGGCCCCTCTGCTCCAGCGTCGTGAAGGGGGCCTCCCCGCGCTTGCAGTCGACGAGGAAGGCCCTGACCTCTCGCTCGTAGACGACGTTGGTCGAGTCGCCCACTGCGCGGGCCACCGGGCGGTTGTTCCAGCGCGGGCGGCCCAGCTTGGCCCGCTGCCAGGCACGCGCCCCGCGCTCCTGCAGCGGGGGGTGGGCACTCCGCGCCGCGCTCCATGTGCCGCGTGGAGCGCCGTCACCAGCGCGACCCAGAAGAACAACCTGCAGCTGCTTCTCGTAGTCGATGTAGCTCCCGAAGTGGTAGCAGTGGCGGTCCACGTCGCCGAGGTCGACGCCCGCAGCCGCCACGCCCTCGCTTGGGAGGCGCGAGCCTCCCTGCTGAGAAGGCGGTCGAGCTGCAGGCGCGCCGCCAAGGTCCCGCAGATCACCGCCGCCGTTCCAACGCCTTCAGGAGAGTCCGCACCGCCTTCGGCGTCGTCCTCATCCTGTGGGCCTGCCGGTCTCGTCCGCCGCCCCGATGCTGCTCGGCCTGTCCGCATTATTCCACTGGCCGGGGACCGCCGGTAGTGGCCCAGCGCCAGCGAGATGCCACGGGCCACCCGCGCCAGTCTCAGGAGGGCCGTCGCCGATGAGCGACCCTCCTGCAGCGCGCCCACAGAGACCGCCGAGTCCGTCATTATCACGACACGCTTGTTCCAGTATCTTGAGGATCTCGTCAAATGCCGAATCGCGCTGACCACGCACCTCAGCCCCCGCGTTGTTGTGCTCCTCCGCCTCCCAGCGTCCTCTGAAGAGCTCGTGCCGCCTCGACTCGTTGATCCAGGAGGCGCCGATCGGCATCACCTGCCCCCTGCTCCGCACCACCCGAGGTCGTCCTCGTCGAAGCCGCACCTGCGCTCCTCTCGGTACCTCGTCCCGGGCGCAGTCAAGCTGCTCGAGCTTCGCGGCGTAGCACTCCACGAAGTCGTCCCCGTAGTTGACGGCGACGCCCGAGACCAGCGCGAAGTCGTCCCACAGCCCGTCGCTCTCCACGAGCGTCGCCAGGTTGGCCAGCACCAGCACCTCCCCCACCTCCAGCGAGAAGACGCCCTCCGAGGCGGCGAGCCTGTCCCAGGGGGGCCACTCCACCCCGTTCAGCGCGACGGGCCCCATGATGACGAAGCCCAGCCCCTCGCGAGCGGCGAGCCCGGCGATCTCGACGATCACCTGCGCGATGAAATTGTCCTGGTCGACCTTGTGCTGCGCCCTGTCGCTGAGCCCCTCGTAGCCCCGGGGCGCGCGCGCGTTCCGATAGTAGTCGTCCGAGAAGGTGTCCAAGAACATGGTGGGGTGGCAGATCCAATACCAACGCCTCCTCAGACGGCTGAAGAGGTGCTCCATCATCATCACGTCCAGCAGCTCCTCCACCCGCACGTCCTCTACCCAAGCGCTCACCCGGTGCCCGAGCTCCCCTTTCAGATCCAGCAAGCCCTGCTGCAACGCAAGTATACCAGGCCGACCTTCGCGCGGGTGCATCATCTCGTCCTCCCCCAGGCCCGCCTTGCTCGCCTCCCCCTCTATCCCCGTGTGCGTCTCCCCAGCGCGAATCTGCCACGCCTGCTCGGCCCCGCGGCCCAGCTCGTCCCTGATCTCTTCCACGCTCGACATCGTGGCCACCGTCCCGAAGCCCCCGTCGCTCGCATCGGTCATGTAGACCGTCGCGTGCCAGTTTAAATCCAGGTTCGCCTCGAAGAAGACGGCCAGCGACCCCAGGGCCCCCAGCTCGCCCCACACGGCGACGGGAAGGCGCCGCAGCTCCTCGGCGCCCTCGTCCGCGAAGTTGCCGACCCGCTGATGGCAGGCGTCCAGGATCGCAAAGGCAGGTCTGCAGACCAACATCGCCCACGCCCAGCAGCCCACCACCGTGGCCAGCTCCCGCGGTCGCGCGGACTGAGTCACCACAATCGCCTCGGCGCAGATGATGAAGTCCTTCATCTTCTCGGGGTAGATCTTCAGCGTGTAAGGGCGTCCCGATATGGTAAGTCCTAGCCCTCGCCGAAATCCTTCCCCCGCCTCTTTTTTGTGCACTGCGAGGCCCTTCGCATTCAAGAAGCTCCGCGCGTGGCCCTTGGTCACCTCGAGCTCCACCTCCTCCCCATCCTTCACGAGCTTCAGACCTATGTAGTCTTCGATGCGCAGCGGCAGCAGAAGCTCAGTCCGGGCAAAACTCGGACACGCCTTGCCCGAAGTAGTCTGCTCCGTGGGCAGACCATCCATGGACTCGAAGCAGTCGACATGGACAGAGTGGGCCAGGAAGACCGCCCAGGCAGCACCCATCACCGGTGCGACTGACCCCACCCCCGCGGCCCCCTTGGGCGGGGCGGGGAGGTCCACTCCAGCTTCCGTCGCAAAGGTGAGCAGCTCCTCGGGCGTAGCCCCCTCGAGCGCGAAGTTCTCTGCCAGTCTGGTCGCCCACCTCAACCTGTAGAGCCAGTCTGGCACGCCGCCCTGGAAGCTCCCCAACGCTCGGTCTGTCAGGATGTCGCTCGTCAGCTCTAGCTCGGACAAGGCGGATGGCGACCCCAGCGGCGTCCACGGCGGCCGCCGAAATAACAGATTCACCTTCCGAGCGTCCCCGATGGGGCGAGACTTGACCACGTCCCGCGCATTTTCGCTCACGTCCTTCGCCACGCAGGAGAGCCCCACCGTGTGCTTTATCTCGTTGACGTACTGAACCACACCTGATATTG